AGAAGCCTGGTTTAACTCTAAAAGTAAGGATGTGAGAGGTGAGATAAAGCTGACGGATGGACTTGAGTGTGGGGTCCAAGAGACGTATCTGACTGTATAGAAGACATAGACAAGACATAATGGGCCAGGGAAAGACCAGTTTGAATGCTGCAATAACATTCCTTCCTGATTGAAATATGATGCAACCAATATGGCACTTGATATGGGAAGACAGAGCAAGATGTTCAGTTTGGCTATGCCTACAAGTACTGAAAGGAACATGATAAACATGACAATGACGAGGATGATGTTGTACATGCTGGCATACCACTATAACTATACCCACTGGGAAGGTTTTGGCCTTCCGAACATAAGGATTGTATGTTCAAGGACAGCTTAGACAACTTACTGAGACCCTGTCTCAAAGCAAAGAATGGCCAGGGATGTAAGCTAGTGGTAGAGTGCTTGTCTAGCTTATGCAAGGCCCTGACTTCAATTCCCAGTATTGGAGGAAAAGAAGGTTGGAAGGAAGGAACAAAGACAAGGATAGACAAAACTGGAAGGAAGGGAGGGGGGAGAGGAAGGGAGGAAAGAAGAAAGAAAGGAAAGGTACATTTGGAAAGACACAACTGTAGAGAAGCTTTAGGCTGTAGTCAAGGTCCATGGGTTAGGAGCATCAGAGTAAGCACAAGCCTTCTAGGACAAGCTCTTAAACTGAGGAGCTGGAGAGTTGGCTTAGTAATGGGGAGTGATTTTTGCATAACCATGAGTCATGAAGTGCCTGTTAACTCTAGCTCTGAGAGACCTATCTATCTAATTAATGCATATACTCACACAGAAACTCACACAGATAGGCACATATGAATATTCAATCAATAAATCATATGTGAATTGAGCCAAGAATCTGATTCTCTGTTTATTCATGCTGACCATTGAAGTTAGGTAAAATAATCTGCTATAAGTAACACCACTGTGCTCTAGGCATTTCCTAGAGGAAAGTAGTCCTGTGTGTGTTTTCATGTTTCTCCTTGTGACTGATATCTTGAAACTCTTTCTGAGCTGGCAACACCTTTATCTCTCCTTGTTAAGTGTAAATGCCATTTATGTTGTGGGTAACATGCCACCAAATTGTTTTTTACTCTTTTTCATTTATTTTGTCTCATTGTTAACGTTCTCACCACTTATCACCAGTAAAAATCATAAATACACTGTGTCATTTTAAGAATTACCATTGTAGTTTGTAAGCTCTGTGGTGGGTGTATGTGCGTGCGTGTGTGTGTGTGTGTGTGTGTGTGTGTGTGTGTGTGTGTGTGCTGTGTAAGGGGGGAGAGGGCAGGGGGAGTTTATGATAACAGTGCTTATATAATCTCAACAACCAGGGGCCCTGGGGACTCACACTCAGAGATGGAACAGTTGGTTTAAATTATGTTTCCATGTGAAATACGGTATTGCTATTTTTTCCCTAGCATGTGGGAAAGTGTATGGGAAATGATTTGACTGATAGGAAATAAGTCTGTGTGCGTGATCAGACTTGAGACACAAAACAAGGGGCAGTCCTTGCTGCTCTGGGAGAAAGGCCTCTCCTGGATGAGGGTTAACTCTTTCCATTCACTGCATGGTAGGAGAATAGCCAGAATAGTTACTGTAACTTAGAACCTGAAAAGCCTAAAGCCGTAGAACTCAGACAGGCAGTTGCTGGGGGACTCTGAGGAGCCATTTTAAATGTTCAGAATCCCATTTCTACTTGTAAAGAAAAGTTTGGTTTGGTTCCCATTCTAGGTTAAGGTCCATCAAATGCAAACCAAGCTAAAGAAAAAATTGGCTAACAGCACCAAACCGCGACCGGTCTGTTTTGGCAAAAATTTCTTCTTGGTCCAGCAGAGCCAGGGTTTCCTGAAATGATTGTTAAATGGTAGGGAAACAAGGCTTGGAGACCAAGCAGGAAATTTTGCTGACAGTTGCAGGAGCACTCAGCTCTAAGAATCCCATAGCTTTCCTAGGATAGTGTGGGAAGGGCTTGTCTCAGTGGCCTGATTCCAGGTCCATTCTGATTTTACATGGGGCCAGCATCCACTGGAGCAAGGAGGTATCAGACAGGCATCTCCAGGGCCTCCTGGGCATTGGAGTGGCAGCATTTTTTTTTCAGTTTTTTGAGGCAGGGTAGCCTTGACTGTCCTGGACTCACTTTGTAGACCAAGCTGGCCTCGAGTTCACAGAATCTGCCTGTCTCTGCCTCCCCTAGTGCTGGGATCACAGGTGTGCACCACCGCAGCCAGCTGGGATGGCAGCGTTTACTTTCGCTTATTTCAGAAGGCATCATCAGCATCTTAGTCCAGTGCACCAACCACCAACGTATAGCCTGTTTTATCATGACCCTGTCTCACTGCCACTATCTCCTTGTTTCTGTGGCGGGATAAAAAGGAGGTGTTGATCACCCACACTATACATTCTAGTTTGGGTTGGGTTTTGTCGATGGTGATTTTTCTTTAATTATCTTGGGGGTGCCAGTTTCTGGAGTGTTTTTCTTTAATTGCGTCTGTCTTCAAATGTGTAGCTCCAAATTCAGTGCTTAGAACAGTGGTTCTCAACCTTCCTTATGCTGCAACCATTTAACACAGTTCCACATGTTGTGGTCACCCCAGCCATAAAATTATTTTTGATGCTACTTCATAACTATAATTTTGCTAGTGTTATGAATCATAATGTAAATATCTGTGTTTTCCAATGATCTTAGGTGACCCCTGTAAAAGGGTAAATTCAAATCCCCAATGGGGTCTTGGCCCACAGGGTGAGAACCATTGGCTTGGACGGACCCATTCAGGGCCACGTGTAAAAAGGAACTGTCACCTTTCATCAGCTGAAAGAACGGTAATAAATGGAGAGCCCTAGTTTTTAGGTATTGTGGCCCCATAAGAAACTTATTTCTCCTCTGAGACATAAACTCTTTTTGTTTGTTTATTTATTCTTGTTTTTGTTTCATTTCTTTTGTTTTGTTGTGATGCTGGGTATCAAACCCAGGGCCTGGCAAGCCAAAGATTCTAGATCTGAAAACCTGGCATTGGGCATCCCTCTAAGTTGGCTGCCGACATTAAGAGTCATTAATTCTTGTTGTTCCCTTCTGTGGGCAGTGTGCCCTCTACCTTGAACTCCTGTTTCCTCAGATGTCTGGGTCACCATGAACTCTGTTTGGGCCTCATTCCCACACAGGCTGAAGAAAGAGTTGCTCCCTTAGGTTTCGGCTCTGTTGCCGACTGATGTGCAACTCATGTAGTCAACAGCGCACACCTGGGTCACCCTGCCGTGAGTCAGCCAGGGTAAAGAAAGCAACTCAACTTGGACAGCAGTGGCCAAGCACCAGAATGAACAATAGTGAAATAATCTCAGAGCAGAAAGAGACCATGTAAACACTGAATGCCATAAGGGGCTGTAGATGCGAAGCACTAAATTTTATACTCTGGTAAGGAAAAAAAAATCACACTAGAAAAATGTAATCCTAGAGCTAGAGCCAGCAAACATGAGATTTCCCTTGTGCTCACTCACTAGTGAGGGCTCTATGGTACAGCCCCAAGTCCAGGGCAAGCCATTGCTACCTTTTTTGCCTGAGGGTCTTCAACAAGCCTCTTGATTTCCTAATCATCCCTGACAGTGAACTGTTGTGAGAGATATGTGAGATGTCATAGTCAAAGTACTTAGAATGGCTCCTGGCACATTGCAAGCGTTAGTGTTTACTCTTCTTGTTGTTTTCTCATTTGAAGAACATAATAGATTAGTATTGTAAGAGGGTGTTTGAAGCTTAGGTAATCCAGTGAAACACGGGGAAGAAAGATCATAGGAGCCAGAATAGGCAAGGACACAACAAGACCCACAGAGTCAAGTAAACTGGGCCCATAGGGGCTCACTAGACTAAACCACCAACCAGGGAGCCTGCATAGGACAGACCCAGGTCTTCTGCACATATGTTACAGTTGTGTAGCTTGGGCTCCATGTGGGACTCCTAACAGTGGGAGCAGGGCTGTTTCTCACTCTGTTGCCTGTCTTTGGGACCCTTTTCCTCTTACTGGGCTGCTTTGTCTAGTCTCAATAGAAAAAGATATGACTGGTGTTACTGCAACATGATATGCCAGGGCTGTTGCTATCCATGGGAGGCCTCCTCTTTTCTCAAGAGAAACGAGGAGGAGTGGATGAGGTAGGAGGAGGAGAGGGGAGGACGAAATACTGGGAGGAGAGGAGGGAGGAGAAACTGCACTCAGGATGTAAAGTTAATTAATTGATTAATTTTTAAAAAGAGAAATTGCTGTAAATTTTTTTGTATTTTTTATTTGGTACTACACATTTTAATTTTTTAAAGGTCTTTATTCATTTATGCATATGCTTGTATGTGCGTGTGTGTGTGTGTGTGTGTGTGTGTGTGTGTGTGTGTGTGTGCGCGCGCGCACATGCGCTCATGCCGTGGAAGGCATGTGGAAATCAGAAGACAGCATTAGAGATTTTATTCTCTCCTTCCACCACGAGGATTCCAGGGATGGAAATCAAGCTGTCAGGCTTTGGTAACAGGTGCCTCTACTTGCTTAACCATCTTACCAGCCCTGGTACCACACATTTCTTGCTTGATAAATGTTTTCAGCTTATGGTTAAATGCATTGACTACACTTAATCTTCATGCCCATCAGCCACATTCCATCAAGAGTATCCATGGGCCCTATTTTATACACACACACATTTTTAAGGAATCATTTATATATCGTCTTAAGGAATCGCATAGCTCAAGAGGGACTTTATGGTTACCTATTTCAGACTTCTTATTTCAAGACGGAGATGAAGATGCAGATAAACTGACTCACCAAGGGCCTTATCAAAGCAGCAATGGAGCTGGGTTTCACACTAGAGCTCTTTGCTTGCTTCTTTTTCTAGTCCCAAACTGATGTTTTAAAAAAAAAAAAAAAAAAAAAAAAAAAAAACAAAACACAAGGATGGAGCTTCTGGGCTATGTCTTCAGTGAATGTCCGCCATCCCTCTTCCAGGTGAGCTCCTGGGTAACATGGCTGATCCTCACTGCAGGCTCCATGGAGGAGAAGCGGGAAGTCTTCTCGTATTTAGTGCATGTGGCCAAATGCTGCTGGAACATGGGCAACTACAACGCCGTCATGGAGTTCCTGGCTGGCCTCAGGTAAGGAAGTGTGGTGATCTGGGCAGGTTCCTTTCTCCAGTCAGACAGCTCTGAGCTAATTCCCTGGACAGACAGCAGCACTTACCAGAGTAGGCAATTGGTAATGATTTTCAGGGAAAATGCACTACTTTCTTCTAGTGCCACAGTCCTGGTCCCTCAAAGAGAGTGGAAAAGAGAGGAGAGGGAGGACAGAGAGGGAACAGAAAAGGGGAGGGAATGGGTGTTGTATGGTCAGCTAGTGTATTAGCTTTCTCATCTCTGTCACAAATGCCCGTGAGGACGACTTGAAGGAGCAAGTGTCTACTTTTGACTCATGGTTTCAAGGTGTCCCACACACGTTTGCTTGGCCACTGGTGCCTGAATAGAATATGATGATGTTGGGAACGTGTAGCAGAGAGGCTTCTTTACCTCACTGTGAATGTGGTGGAAGTGGAGAGAGAAACAGGGAAGGGTCAAGGACAAGGTATTATTCCTAAGGACCTAACCCTGGTAACCTTCTGGCAAGACCCCCTAAAATTTCTAAAACAAAACCCCCAGTGGGAGGCAGGAATCTCCCCAAATGTTTAAAAATATCTGTCAAAGTGTGGTACACCCTCTGAGGGACTACTCAGTTCTCAGGCTTTCGATCTAGTTCTGGGGTCCTCTCTCCTAGGCTCAGGGGCCACCTCATCTGACACTCAGGCTTTTTAAGATAGCCCAAGCTCGCTGGCCAACTCAGTTCCCACCCAGGCCCAGATCCAGGGCTTTGAGTTATCCTACCCCAACATCTACCCCATCCATGAACTGCTGGAACATGTGAAGGGCCTGGGTCCTGCAGAGCCAAAGCTCCAGGATCTCCATGACACGGGGCAACAGCATGATATCCGAGAGGAATCCCAGTGAGGATACACTATTGATAGCATAGCAGAAGCCAAAGGCCTCAAACCAGACCAATAACTTATTGCAATGACCATTTGCAAGTAAGCATGTTTGAACAAAAAGATATACTGTGGGCCACATTGTGTCATATTACAGCTTCCCTTACAAGACTGTTGTTGTTGTTCTTATTTATGTTTTATTTTCTTTTGGAGGGGAAGCTGTGGATACTAAGGGACTTGGAAGATGAGTGGGATTTGGGTGAATGATGTGAAATTCACAAAGAATCAATTTTTTAAAAAACACCAAGAATCTAGTCCTGATTTCATGTGAAACAAAAATGTTCCCTCTCAAAAAAGAAAAAAAAAAAAAAAAAGCCCAAGCTCAGCAGCTTCCAGAGTATCTACTCTGGCTGGACTCATAAGAGATACCCCCACTGTCAAGACAACCCTGTAAAGGCAGAAAACATCTACAGAGCCGCCTGTCCCTGCACCAGTGGGCAGCTCCAGCCAGTTACCCATCTTTAGACACGAGTTGCACAGTAGGCCATGTGATGAACAAACTGCCCAGGATAAATGTCCAAGGAGTCCACTCGACAAGCCCAGCTCCTGAGACTAAGTTCATGTCTTTCCCACAAGCCCTCTCACAATAGTCTCCATAGAAATATTCCCAATTTAGCTAGGTGTGCCTTTAATCCCAGCACTCAGGGAGGCAGGGGCAGGGAGATCACTGTGAGTTCGAGGCCCGCCTAGTCTACAAAGCAAGTCCAGGACAGCCAAGGCTACACAGAGAAACCCTGTCTCAAAAAGAAAGGAAGGAAGGAAGGAAGGAAGGAAGGAAGGAAGGAAGGAAGGAAGGAGGGAGGGAAGGAAAGAAAAGAAAATATTTCCAAATCTCTTCTTATATCTAGGTTCCCTGTGTGGGATAAAAGGCAGAGCAGCCTGGACACCTCTCGTGATGACATGATACATTTCTTTAGACTGCTAGTTATGTTGTTACCTGTTGACCTCAGCAGCAGTTTCAAACTAGGATAAACACCACTTAACATGTTGTTATGCAAGCCATACATCCAAACAAAATCCCTCTGTTGGTGTGGAGCTAAGGTCATACTTTATTCTGTAAAAAGCTGTTCCTACTAGAGTCTAAACTAGCAGGCTTCTGGTATACCACTGGGGGACTCAAAGATCGGGAGGGAAGTATACGGCAGGCTTGCTGTGGACAAAGCCTCAGAAATATTTGTACAGACCATGTGTTCTGGTTTCCTTTCTGTTGCTTTGATAAAATTCTGAGCAAAAGCAATTTAGAGAAGGAAAGGAGTTATTTGGATTACTCTTCCATCACAGAGGGATGTCAGAGCAGGAACTCAAACAAGAACTTGGAGCAGAAACCTGGAGGAATGTTCCTTTCTCATTAATATTTTTATTAATTCTTTAATGATTTCATATAATGTGTTTTGAATATATTCACCCCAAACTCTTCCTATAACCACCCTCCTCACCCCCTCCCATCCATTCCCATCCAGCTTTGAGATTTTTCTCTTCTCCTCTCCTCTCCTCCTCCTCCTCCTCCTCCTCCTCCTCCTCCTCCTCCTCCTCCTCCTCCTTCTTCTCCTCCTCTTCTTATCCCATGGAGTCTAGTTGTGTCACTGAGATAGAAGCAGGACCTGACCTGAAATACAGTCAGCCTACCAGGGATTACGTCATTAAAGAAAACTGACTTCCCCTCTCCCAGCAGCTATCAATAGCTGCCAATAGCTTCTCAGCTAGTGGTGGGGTTTTGTGCCTACTTTCCATCATCTGTGCTGGGATTATGTCTGGCTGGGACTTGCACAGCTCTTGTGCATGTTGTCATGGTTGCTGTGAGTTCATATGTTTAACTGCCCTGTTTTACCTGGAAGATTATTTCCTTGATGTTATCCACCGCCTCTAGATGTTACAGTCTTTGCACTCACTCTTCCACAAAGATCCCTGAGCTTTGAGAGGAGGGATATGGTGTGTACGTCCCCTTTAAGGATAAGCACTCCCTAAGACAGTGTCTTAGTCTATGCATATCAGTCAATCGAGGCTCTCTGTGCTAATTGTCATCTATTACAAAAAGAAGTTTCCCTGATGAGGGTTGAGAAATGCTCTGATCTATGGGTATAGCAATACATTATTAGGAGTCATTTTACTATTGTGTCCATCTAGCAAAATAATACTGCTGGATTCTCTCCTAGTATCCATGGCCTACCAAGTCACAGATCTCTTCTCCATCCCATGGAGAGGGCCTTAAATCCAAGCAGAAAGTGGTTGGTTACTCTTATGCCATTTGTGCCACTATTGCACCAGTTCAGAGATTGGTGCTGCCCACAGAGGGCTAGAGCACCTTACATCAGTTATCAATAAAGACAGCCTCTCCCAAGATAAATCTGATAGAGACAATTTCTCGATCAAGGTTTTCCTCACAGATGTGTCAAGTTGACAATTAAAGTTATCTAGGATATCACATTACTGTGAACTGAAGTTCTCTGAAGAAGCCATATTTTTACTGAGGAGCTAGCAGACTGACCTTGGCTGACTAGAATATGTTGATTGTGGAGAGGAGGAAATATTGCAAATCAAGAGTCAACACTATTTTAGGTTGTGTTTAGTCTCTTTTATATCTGTTTACTGTCAACCCCTGTATCTGACCTAACATTGAAATAACTGCTGTGTAAAACTTTTTGAATGTATTACTAAACCCTAAAGCTAAGAACACCATAAGATAGCATTTGAAATCTGAAGAAGAGGGTTCTCTACATTGTTTATCCCACCTATCGCAATGTGTACTGATGTATGAATTTATTTTGTACGTGTAACCTAGTCCATTGTGGAACATGTCATTTAGAGAACTCTAAACCTGTGTTTCTGAGAAATGTTTACTCATATTTGCACAGAATAAACCGTTTTTTACATCCTTTGAAGAGGTCATTTTATAGTGTTATCAACCTTGTTTTCCTCTTGATAAGAGCTATCAGGAACACTCTAGTCAGCATTTGATTTTCAGCTTTGATAATTAACTTTATTTATTTTTAAGCTGTCCTGTTTAATATTTACATTTATTATTACTATGCACATGACATGTGTGTGGGGTGTGCGTGTGGAGGTCAGAAAATGACTTTATGGAGTTAGTTATCTCCTTCCCCAATTATGTGGGTTCCAGACACCCAACTCAGGTCCTCAGATTTGTGCAGCAAGTACCTTTACCTATGGAGACAGCCTAACTTTGTAAGTAATATTCTTGTCATCTTGGGAAGTAAATGAAGATAGAAATCCTAGTAAATAAATAAGAACACTACAGGGTAAATGACCATGAACTTGTATGTGATTATGCCTACATACTGTAAGCTACATTTTCACCACTTCAGGCTTTTAAAAAAAAATCTCATTTATTTACACTAGGTCGAGGAAAGTTCTAAAGATGTGGCAGTTCATGGACCAGTCTGACATCGAGACCATGCGGAGCCTAAAGGATGCCATGGCCCAGCATGAGTCTTCCGTGGAATACAAGAAGGTAGTGACCCGTGCCATGCACATCCCTGGCTGCAAGGTGGTTCCCTTCTGCGGGGTGTTCCTGAAGGAGCTCTGTGAGGTGCTTGATGGTGCCTCTGGCCTCCTGAAGCTCTGCCCACGGTACAGCTCCCACGAAGAAGCTCTGGAGGTAAGCCTTTCCAAGTGGGCAGCTCCCAAGAGGCCCTCCTGGCCTGCTGTGGACTCGCCTGTCTAATGGGAAATCACTTCCTGAGTGTAGAGCAACCCTTGGCATGTTGTTTCTAGGTAGAGAGGAGGTCCTTGAAAGTTCCGGAGAAAGCAACAACAGCTCTTTGGAACCTGATATTGTTATTTAGGCTCAATGTGACACTGTTGAGCACAAAGGGAAAGATGCTGTTGGTGCTGTGTTGTTGTTTTAATTTCAAAAGTTGGTAAATTTTTTTTTTTGCTACTGGGTAGAACTATCTAGATTCAGAGGATAAAGTCAAATGAGAACAATAACTTCCAAATTAGTGGGTGGAGGAGTAGAAGAAGTCAGTATTGCCTTCTCTCCATACATATAAGAAGATAACAAAAAAATAGACAAAACCAAAACCAGTGCCTCATCTAGACACACTCCAGTCCCTGACCCTTCTGCTCCTGCTCTCCTAGGCCTTTGGCTTTTGCTCTTAACTCCTGCCACAGTGGAGAGGATGGTGTAAGCTTTAGCTCAGGACATTGCACACTGAGTAAGGGCCACTGAGAGGCTCAAAGGAAATAAAGAAACCTCCCTCTGGGGTGTTTAAAAGTGAAATAAAAAGTCTCTTTAAACATGTGTTAGAAAGATTTTTGAGGCAATATGTATTTGGAAATCGCAAGCCCCAAACCAGAGTCATTCACATTATCATCTGTGTAGATGACAACACTCAGTATTGACCCTTCATTCACACACACACACACACACACACACACACACACACACACACACCAGCATCCCTTCTTACTTGAAGTGGGAAGACTCATAAAACTTTAGCCTATTTTATGTCACCTGAAAACAGAGGCATCACTTGGTCTAAGAAGACTTGAGGTCCCCTGACAGGGATGTGTGATACACACAGGCTGATATTTCCTTGGTCTTACAGCTGATAGTAAGAGTCTGGTCAAGGAAAGAGTTGGCTTTATAAAGCCTCCTACCCTCCACTCTCCCAACTCCCTGGGGTGAAGAAGAAATACTGAGTTGTGGCTCTTCCTTCTGGTTCTGGAAGCTTCCACAATAGTAGCTTTAAAAACATCAGGAAGCTACTGTCTTTCTGTAGCACATATGGACAAGAAAGCCAAAAGGCAGCTTTTAAAATGTGTTGGGTTTTTTTTTTTTTTTTTTTTTTTTTGGAATGGGGTCATTTCATCTTGTTCCATGTCATGGAGATCTTTAATCATGGTTTTCTTCTCAACTCCCATTACAAGAATAAATAACTGCCCTTCTCTGCAAAGTGGCTAACCTTGTCCCTAGGGAGCCATGAGATAATATTGCTTTTTGTGTTATAAATTCAAAGTGCAATTTAGATTCCTAGAGGTGCTGAGACTGTCACAGCGAGAAAAGGGCAAGTATGGGGATTTCATGTGAGATGAAAATATTAGGAATAAAACTTTTCTTGGAACCTCTTGTCTCCACTTCAGTAAAATAGGCTTGATTGCTGTTATTTATTGCTGTTTTGATTTGGGCCTCCTAGAAGTAGGTTATTCAGACATAGTAAGTTGCAACTGTGCATTCTTGAACCTCTTTCTGTAGTTTGTAGCTGATTACAGTGGACAAGATAACTTCTTACAACGAGTGGGACAGAATGGCTTAAAAAATTCAGAGAAGGAGTCCACAGTCAACAGCATCTTTCAGATCATCCGGAGCTGCAGTCGAAGCTTGGAGATGGAGGAGGAGGACAGCTCCAGCGAAGGGACCAGCTCTAGGAAAAACTCCCTGAAGGAGAAAACTCGATGGCAGTAAGTCTTAGCGTCAGTGAGTATGTGGGTGGGTGTCTTTCTTCTCTTTTCCCATTGACTAGTTTTTTCCTATTCAATTGAATTTCACATAAAACCCAATAAAAATGTGTCATTTTCATGCCTAACCCTGTTGGTTTTATGGTTCTGTTGGTTCAAATGTCACTTCTGCTTTTGTGTGGACATCTTGTTATTAAGCATCTCAGTTTTGAGAGCTTGCACCTCCAGTGTGTTTTATGTTGGAAAGAACAAACAATGGTACCACAACACCAAACCATACAAGATAGAAACATACACTTAAAACAAATAAAGCCCACTGACATGTCATTCTTTCATATAAGTCAGAAAATGGAAAAAACTAATGTTAGTTTTGCTATTAAGTTAAATTTTATTTAGGGTCAAAGTTGTAAATAAACACAATAAAGGAATGGGGCAGGGAGAGGGAGAAATGGGGGATAAACAAGATTAAATAAGCAAGGAAAGAAAAAGTAGAAGTAAAAATGGTAATTAAGGAAAAGAAGGAACAACAGAAAATTAGAAAAAAATAAAATGAAAAAAGACTTCCTGATAGTGAGAAGACCCATAATCAAAATTAGGTAAGTAGATAAGTGAAAAAAGAAGAAAAATTAAAATCTGATAGTTTTTAAGCCAATGTGTCCAAACACTACAAAAGGTATACTAAAAAGGAAAACTAAAAGGGATAATATGGGAGACAAGAAAAAAAAAAAAAAGATTGTCCAGCAAAAACAAAGTTGGGTAAATGCATAAAGGGGAATAAAAATAAATGCATAAAGCCTTCTAAAATATGATATAATAAAATAGTAGTAAGAGTATCCAAAAGGGGATTTGGTACCCACTTCCTCTCCTCCATGCTGGGATTTTGTCTGGCTTGCCCTTGAGTTGGTTTTGACCATGCTGTCATAATTGCTAGGAGTTCATGTGTGTCTCTGCCTGTTGTGTCCAGAAAACACAGTTTCCTTGAAGTCGCTTACCACCTCTGGCTCCTAGAATCTTTTCTTCTGCACAGATCCCTGAGTCATGAGGGGAAAGATGAATATAGACATCTCATTTAGGGCTGAGCACTCTGATGTCTTATTCTCTGCCCACTGGCTAGTTGTGAGTCTCTGTGTCATCGGAATCTACTGCAAGAAGCTGCTTCTCTGATGAAGGATGAGGGACACTCTAATCTATGGGTATGTCAATTAATAATTATCAGAATAATGGCACTTGGTCCTCCACTTGGGCCCAGAGGAGATGTTGACATTTAATTACTGCTGGGGAGGAGAAAGTCGGTTTTCCTCAGTGGAGAGACTCTGGGTATACTGAGCACACTCCAGGGCAGGCACTACACCAGGAGCAGTTAGCTAGCACAAACTGGGTTAGGAAGGGTCAAAAATTTGGATTGGTAGGAGGTGCAGGAGAATGTGGGGGGGCTTGGGAGAGGGGAATGATCAAAGTGTGTTGTGTGAAAGTCTCAAGTCATGAAAGCATTATTTTTAAAATAAGTGAAGGAAAACACAATAGACAAAAGGGGGGAAAGGTTAGAGTGAATTCTTTCTGGGACCTTGAAAATGGGAGAATGGTGGGTAGGTAGAGCAGGGAGAGGGTGGCTCAGACTTTGAATATATGCAGCAGAGGGGAGGTGAGTCAGACCCTTGGATTTTTCACTTTCCTGTATTTAATACAGGCACTGAGCCTTTTGGGGGGAAGCATCTGCTGTCTGTCAGAGCTGCCTTGTGTTTGCTTTCCTGGTTTCCCTTCTTTGCACACCAGGGGCCTCTGCTGGCCACCCTTAGTTTTGCAGTCTGTGGTCTAGGTACATATTCCCTAGTCACACCCTAGCTCAGGGATTTCTCCCAAGCTCATTTCTGGTAGAAGAAACGATCATTCCACTGAGATCAACGCAGGTGGATCTGCCTATGTGCTTTTGACTTTCACCCAACATTAATTACCCTGCTGGAGGGATGCAGCTATAGCTGTCAAAGGGTCTACTGCAACTTCATGGCTCAAGGTTATTAAAGCTCAAAATGGTTCTCAGTTGATGAACTCGGCTCCCAAGCACTGAGGGTGGACTGCCTTTTTCTATACACTGCACTTCCTGACCTTCTGCCACCTGTCAGCCCTCACATTCTCCACAACTGCCATGCAGATTGTCTCTCACCCTTGGGGTTAGGGCCAACTGAATCTGGTGCTTGGACTTTTGAGTCCTCTCTCTCTCTCTCTCTCTCTCTCTCTCTCTGGCAGGTAGCCCAGTTTTAAATGATAGGCTCCCTTGGAATGGGAGAAGGTTTCAGAGCTGGCTGAACTACCATCTGCTGCTGGCTCTTCCCACCAAGGAAGTCACTCTCTCAGCAAGACCTACAAATGCATTTGTCTGTGGGTGGGACTGCCAGTATCTTCCCTCTAGAGCCGTCTGATGATGACATTTGTTTCTGCTTTCCCAGGCCAGGGAACCCTGCCACCGGTACTCTGCTCAGCATGACTCTCTTCTTTTCCGTGTGTCGCCTTTCTGTTTCTCTGCACCTTTCAGCTGTCCTGTTGTCCCTTTTATGGATTTCCAAAGCTCTTCCTCTTTTCTTAGTAACAGTCTCTCTTTTTTATCTTACCATGACACTTCTTCATGAGGTCACAGGGAATTCTGTAGTAACAACGGAAGTTGCCTCTTGTGAAACTTTTATTTCTACTTTTCTATTTATTCCCTTGTCTTCTTCCTCATCATTTAATCATCTATATCCTAAGAACATTCTCTTCCACTGTCCTTTTTCCAGATCCGGTTGTAGGCATCCTGAGAATGGGGGGAAAATCCACAAAGATGCAAATATTTATTTCACAAAGCTTGGGAAGACATATTGAAATCCTCACTTTGAGACCTTTGTACCTAAGTAGTTGGAAGTAGTTTCCTGGTCCATAAGTGATTGTTACTCTAAAAAGAATCCCTGCATACATGTTAGGGAGGTGGGATTTAATAGGGTCCAGGGAATCCAGCCCACTTAGCACTGTTTTCTTATTTGCTTCAGTCCAGAACCTTGGGAAAATTCCCTGTTCAAAGAAGGGCTGTCTCTGACATGAACTCAGGGGCTGGCTCTTTGATCACCTCCCCCTGAAGGGGGAGCAGCCTTGCCAGGCCACAGAGGAGGACAATGCAGCCAGTCCTGATGAGACCTGATAGGCTAAGATCAGATGGAAGGAGAGGAGGACCTTCACTATCAGTGGACTGGGGAAGGGGCATGGGAGGAGAAGAGGGAGGAAGGGTGTGATTGGGAGGGGGCTACAGCTGAGATACAAAGTGAATACATTGTAATAAGTAAAAAATTTTTAAAAAATTTCCCCGTTCAGGTTGTCTTAGGCATAGTGTTTTTCAGATCCTAAAGGACAAAGGAACTGGGCTTTATTGTATTTTAAAACAATAACCTCCAGCGAACCTCCAGTTGGCAATGCACAACTCAGTGAGAAGGATAAAAACAGGAGAGAAAGGAAAGAGGGAGAGAGAGAGGAAGGAAGGAAAGAAGGAAGGAAGGAAGGAAGGAAGGAAGGAAGGAAGGAAGGAAGGAA